TTATCAAGTATATATATTTAAAATTTTATATAAATTAAATAAATATTCATTGAATATAAGTAAAAATAGTAATTATGGTTTTTTTTGTAACGAACTGTATTTGTTGGGCGGAACGGATTAAGAACTTTGTTTCGTGATATTCGTTGTAAAGTCATTGGGTTGTTTTAGATCATGGATTATGTGTATAATATAATTGCTGATCTGAATGATTTAAGGTATTAAAGCATTCATGAAATTCAAAAGAATAAATAAAAGAATTTAATGTAATTTGATTATTCAAATAAGAGGAGAAAATTATATAAACAAAATATAGAATTACAGTATATCACCCCATTTATCGTGATTGCATCCATTTTTATCTTTCTCCGGTTATTTTTATCAGACAAGGAAAATCATCTTACCACAATCCAACATCCCGACGATCTAACTTCCCGAAATTCAATATCCCGACAAACCCAACTTCCCGACAAAACTGGTCCAATTTCTGGCTTATGACTGGAAGTTGGATTTGGCAGAAGTTGGGTGTTATGCTGTCGGAAGATGGGTGGTGAGGAATTCAGACAATTGTCCATTGTCCAATACGCCCAATTATATATTCATACCTGGTGGTGATCTGTGCAGGAACATTTCGGGAACTAGCGATCTATTTCGAAAAGATACCAATTCGAGATGGATCCCATTTTTGTAAGAAAACGATTCTTTGAAAATCGATAACAACCTTGACATAGAATAAATATCTCGGAATATCTTCATGAACCAATCGTTTTTTATCATTCGATTCGCAACGATAAGACGAATCGAATAGTATCAAAAATATTCGAAATAGATAATTGAACAACTTTAACATAGAATTATCGTGGGAACCAGCGATCTATTTTGAATGATTTTAATATTTCGATTCGCCTTATCTATCACTGTGAATCGGATGATATCGAATCGGACCACTAGATCTGGAGAAATAAAAACATCGTATATTAAATATATGTCCAGTTCAGTGTCCATTTGATTGGACAGATTTCCATTGTACAAATTCAACCCTGCAAAATATTTTTTATGATAGACATTCATTATTAAAAAATTAAATTTCTTAATTATATAAGGTTATGTATATCTCAATATTGGTCCTTCCAAGTAAACATATTTTTCCACAACTTTATTTATTCCTCACTACTAGGTTATAAAGGCTAATAATACCCCTCCCCCTTTGCCTTATGTTTAAAAATCCGGATAATCAAATTTTAAAGAAATTAATTCTGTAACTTTGGGACGCGATATTTCGACGTCCAACGGTCCGATCTGAACAAAATAGATTCATTCGACCTGTCTAGAGTAGACAGGTCGAATGAATCTATTTTGTTCAGATCGGACCGTTGGACGTCGAAATATCGCGTCCCAAAGTTATCGAATTTTTCGGTTTGCAGAACAAATGCAATATATTACTACGCAGAAATGGATGATAGATATTACGTAATATCCATTTATTCTGCGGATTTAATAAAGGGAATCTGTGTTGATGTTCACATATGGACCTGTGTGTGATTGCGCAGAAAGTGAAGATAGTATTCATTGAAATGACTAGGACTGCAAAATGTTTAGACCTAATTTTTGCAAGATTTTTTTTGGGGACGAAAGAACTTAATTCTCATTGGTGATAAATTCATATATCGATATCGTTAACGTCATATATACGTAAGTACACGAAATAAAACATTAATAACGCAATTAATGGATTACAGAAGTTTTTCTTGTTTTGAACATTTCATAGCGTTATTGTGCATCGATATTCAATCGATGAAATGAAACATAAATATGGTTATAAACTTTCTTAACGCGTGTTAGCACCAAAATCCAAAATAGTCAAAAAGATAATTTTTAGTGAATGAACTCCCAATTAACTAAAATAAGAAAATTAAGAACAATTAAAAGTTGACATGCTTAGTGATACCAAGAAAAATTTAGTGTCGGATGTTCCGGAAACTAGAAATGTAGTACATGTATATACATGTAATAAGTGCATGCAGAATGAAATGATATTGATCGTTTTTGTTTTTTATCTCTTTATAAATCTCTTTTTAGATAACATAGAGATTATAGAACGCGTGATATCGATTTACAAACAATAAGTAAACTTTGATCAAAAGACTTTTTCCGTACATTATTTACACGTGGAAGAAGAACAAAAAGAACAATTGTGATCATTGTTTTTTCCTATTCTGACTGCATGTCACGGCAAATCATAATGCCCTCGGCCCGCGGCCGGCCGGAATTTATTTTTTGATGGCGTCACTTGCGCCGTGTCTATGGAATGAATTTGAAAATAATATGCATGTATTGCAGGATCAAAAAAAAAACTATAATATTTCTGGTCCGCAGAACATAATTGTATAATACGCAGTACATATTTTATAAACAAAAATAAACAAGATTTCCATAACGAGTTTTCATCAATGTATTTCTTTTCCTCATGCCGCAACAATGATAAACGAAAAAAAAAGGTACATGTACATGTGCAACGTTAAAAAAAGTTTACTCACACCGGAATACTTCCCCCATTGGATGAATATCAGTTTTCCAGAACTTTGGTCTGCAAATTGTGTGTGTTGTGTCACAGAATTTTAGAATTAATGTTCAACTGAAATGTCTGGTCGGGAATTTATTAATTCCATTCGATTGAAAGAAATCAAATTTAATTTCCAACAACTCCCCGCTCTTAATGAAAGCACAAAGGATAAAAGTCAAATCCTTGGACTTCTTGGTTGAAATGATCAATGATCCCATCAATATATTTATTTATGCATATTAATTAATTAGATATGCATCATATGCATCAAAATTGTGCAACTAAAGATTTTAAGTTTTTTTCATTTGTCTATTATAAATACTGTTATTTATTACCTTTTTTCGTAAGTATCCATTTTCTGTCAAGCACAAGTACATACACGGAGAGAAGAATAAAACGTGCATATTTCCCAAAAACAATAAAAGACCGTTTTTCAGAGATATTTTACGAAATAATAATAAATCATCCATATACTTTTGATAGTTATAAAAAAAATTAAATTGTTACGAAAAACAAAAGAAATCCAAAATAATGTCGTCTAATTCTGATATAATTACGGCGACTACAACTGCAACTACATATGCGGAAGGTAAAATTTTTTCACCTAATCACTTCCGGTTACTATCAAGAACAAAATTTTCGGTCTCAAACTTTATTATTAATATTATCAATAGAAGACAAGGATGAAAATGGCAAAATCGATAATGAAATGGACATTGATTATAGTATCGTGGACGCACTACCTCCAACTTTAAAAAAACAGCTATCAGAAAAACAAGTATCCGAGAAAAAACTAAAAGACGAAAAAATCGAAACAACTGGAAGTGACAACGGTGACGAAGAAAATACAAAAAGACCGCCCCCTGTCAAACTCTTTGAATTGTTCAGATTTGCAAATGGGACTGACAAACTATTAATGTTGATTGGTACTCTTGGTGCTCTTGTGAACGGGACAGCACTTCCAATAATGACGATCTTCTTTGGGAATTTTATTAACGCGTTTACTAATTATGCGCTAGCTGCGAGAGATCACCCTAATGATTTGGCGGATGAAAGACATACGCTTGAAAATGAAGTTCGGAAGAATGTCTTTTTTTTCATAGGTATAGGGTCCGTTGCTTTTTTCGCTTCGTATATACAAATGGCATGTTGGATGATGGCTGGTGAAAGGCAGACAAAGGTATTATTTGGTTTTTTTGTATTGCTATTTTTATTATAGTATATCTAATTAGGAATAACATTAACATAGCGAGTACGTGAACTCTATTACGCGGCATTATTAAGACAAGATATTTCATGGTTTGATACAATGTCAACCGGTGATGTGACTTCTCGAATTGCAGCTGACACGACCATCTATCAAGAAGGAATTTCGGAAAAAATTGGCATGATTTTACAATATCTCGTTACTTTTATCGCCGCTTTTGTCATTGGTTTTGTTAAAGGTATTTGATTTTTTATTCTTATTTTTTTTTTGAAATTTTGATAATCTAAAATAAAGTTAAAAATTATTTTAGGATGGAAACTTGCACTTGTTCTTTGCTGTGTTATACCATTATTAGCGATTGCTGGTGGTGCAATGTCGAAAGCTATGGCTGCAAGTACTACTGAAGGACAAGGTTAGTTTTTTTTTCCTTTCTAGTGGTGTGTTCTTTAGTTATTGAATTAAATAAAATCTCTAACTTTATGTTCTCGATAATCAGGTGCGTACGCTGATGCAGGTGCAGTCGCAGAACAAACAATATCCGGCGTTCGAACAGTAATCGCGTTCGGTGGTGAAAGTAGAGAAATACGTAAATACTTGGTGCAACTACAACACGCGTACAAATCCGGAAAAAGGAATGCGCTCATAAGTGGTGCGGGTCTCGGCACAATTTTCCTGATTATGTTCTGTACGTATGGTCTCGGTTTCTGGTACGGCAGTAAATTGGTGTTAAGAGGAGAGAAGAATGGCGGAGAAGTACTGAATACATTTTTCGCGGTCATGTTTGGCGCTTTCAATCTCGGAAATGCTGCACCTCATTTCACCGCTGTTGGTAAAGGATTGGGTGCTGCCGCGTCGTTGTTTAGCGTGATTGATCGCGTACCGCCGATTGACGTCTCTTCGGATGATGGAAAAAAAATAATGAAATCTAAAGTGAGAGGTAGAATGGAATTCCGGAATATCAATTTTCATTATCCACAACGACCGGAAGTTACCGTTTTAAAAAACTTCTCTCTTACTATTGAGCCTGGACAGACAGTTGCATTGGTTGGAAGTTCTGGATCAGGAAAATCAACAATCATAAGTTTACTGGAACGGTTTTATGATCCAATCAGTGGATCAATCATATTGGACGGAGAAGACATTAAAGACATTAATATAAAATCATTGAGAACGCAAATTGGTCTTGTTGGTCAAGAACCTGTTCTATTTCCAGAAACCATTGCACAAAATATCAAATGGGGAGGCGTGCCGGATGAAAAGGAACCCACACTAGAGGATATTATTGATGTCTGTAAAAAAGCAAATGCACATGAATTCATCGAAGAATTACCGGAAAAATATAATACATTAGTAGGCGAAAAAGGTTCTCTGCTATCAGGTGGACAGAAACAAAGAATTGCGATTGCGCGTGCATTGATTAAGGATCCGGCCATTTTGTTACTTGACGAAGCGACATCCGCTCTTGATACTGAATCTGAACGACTTGTACAAAAAGCACTTGATGCTGCAAGTACTAATCGTACTACTATTGTAGTTGCTCATCGTCTGTCCACGATAAAAAATGCCGATAATATTGTAGTGATGTCAAACGGAGAAATAGTTGAAACAGGAAAACATCAAGAACTGATTGAACGAGAAGGAATGTATTATAACTTGGTAAAAGCACAAGAGCTTAAAACACAAAGAAAAGAAGAGGAGGATGACGAAGAATCATCATTGATCAGTGATATAGAAGATGAGACTGCAATAACAATTGATGAAAAGATACGTCGTCAAGACACGATACAACGCGTCTCCACCAAAGCAACTGTAGTCTCCACGAAAACAAACGAAGAATTACGCGCAGAAGAAGAAGCTAAAGCCGCCAAAATGAAAGCACCAATTGGACGCGTAGCAAAACTAAATTCGTCCGAATGGCCACTTATATTGCTTGGTACATTCGGGGCTGCGTTATTTGGCGCACAGATGCCAATGTTCTCGGTGGTTTTCTCGAATATTCTGAATACCTTCTCGAAAACTGATCAGCCTGATGAATTAAGAAAAGAAGCGAATTTTTGGGCGGGGATGTTTGTGGTGCTTGGCATTGTGGCTTTTATCGGAAATTTCTTTAATTTGTTCTTTTTCTCGTTAAGCGCGTATGTATTTTATTATTTTCATATCACATGTATCTTAAAAGTTCAATTAATTTCTTATGCGTCTTCGATTATAATTAGCGAAAGATTGACGCGTCGTATTCGAACGATGGTATTCTCAGCATTATTGGAACAAGAAGTAGGATTTTTCGACGATGAAAGAAATAATACTGGAGCACTAACATCAAAACTTGCAAGTGACGCGGCAAAAGTTGAAGGATTAACTGGAAGGTAATTTAATTTAATTTGATAAATAAAATAATTTTATCTGATTATATATATATATGTAATTAATAATATATCATAATTTAGTTTATTGGGGACCGTGGTTCAGACTATGTCTGCCTTGGGTGTTGGTATGGTAGGTATTATTTAATGACTATTGAGAAACCTGAATTAACTTAAATTGTATAATTAATTTGTTTGCCTTTTATTTTTTAGGGTATTGCATTTGCTAATGGTTGGAAATTAACCCTTGTCGTGTTGGCTTCGCTTCCTCTTATTGCTTTATCCGGACTATTACAAATGAGAACCTTAGCTGGGTATGGACAAAAGGTAGTTACATTTATAATAATAAACTCATTGAATCTATTTCTCTTAATCATCTCTCTTTGTCTTTTTTAACAGACTGCTAAAGCATATGAAGGTTCTGGACAAATCGTGCAACAATCCGTATCAAACATGCGAACTATCGCCGCACTAAATCTTGAAGAAACTTTCAAAGGGTTGTATCACAATGCAATCGAAGAACCACATAAAATTGCCATCAGAGGCTCGATATTTTCATCGATTGGGTTCGGACTTTCGCAGGGTACTTTATTCTTTATTTGGAGTTTAGCGTTCTGGTAAGTAAGAATCCACAATTAATTACATAGATGATCACATATGTGAACTAATAGGATAAATTGTTTGTTCGATTTAATAGGTACGGCTCAAGATTACAAATCAGTGGTGAATATAATAATAAACAAATGTTGAATGTGTTATTCACTGTTGTGTTCTCGGCTTTTGGATTGGGTCAAATTGGGTATGTTTATCAAAGTGATATCTAAGATGTCTTGTAATCACGACCTAACTTTTTGTTAATCATAAAAAATAAATTATACAGAGCATTCGCACCAAATGTTTCTAGAGCAAAAATAGCAGCAATCTCTATATTCGAAATCCTTGACCGTAAATCATCAATCAATGTCAAGGAAACCTTAGACAAAGATCGTCCAACACCAGTATCAGGTACCGCCAGCGCACACGATGTCCGATTCAAGTACCCCGCACGACCAAATGTTCCAATCTTACGTGGCCTCGATTTATCAGTGCTTGCCGGAAAAACCGTAGCAATTGTTGGTTCTTCTGGATCAGGAAAATCCACAGTGGTCTCATTGGTATTACGGTACTATGACGTCGAATCGGGAAGCATAAAAGTCGAACATGTCGATGTTAGAGACTGGAATTTAGAGTACTTACGTTCACATATGGCGTTAGTTGGTCAAGAACCTGTGTTATTTGATGTTAGCATTGGCGAGAATATTCAATATGGCAAAGAGGGATGCACGCAAGAAGAGATTGAGGAAGCGGCAAAAGCAGCAAATATTCACAATTTCATCATAAATCTGCCGGAAAAATACAACACACGGGTTGGTGAAAAAGGATCACAGTTGTCTGGTGGACAGAAACAAGTAAGCATCGTTCTGTTAAACTTGTTCATATTAATTTGACATTATTCTAACAATTTCATTGACATTATAGCGTATCGCAATCGCACGAGCACTAGTACGAAAACCAAAACTGTTATTATTGGACGAGGCAACATCTGCACTCGATTCCGAGTCCGAAAAAGTTGTACAAAATGCGTTAGATCGCGCCGCAAAAGATCGAACCACCATTACTATCGCACATCGTTTGTCCACGATACAGGACGCCGACTTGATTGTAGTGGTGAAAAAGGGTCAGGTGGTCGAACAGGGAACACATATGGAGCTTATTGCTCGACGTGGACTTTATTTTGAACTTGTGAATAAGCAGCAATTGACGAAGAAGGAAACATAATTATTATAATAATAATGAGTATAATTTAATTTTCTTTATTTTTGTTAATTTTTTAATAATTAATTTTTCAGCTTTATTTTGGAAGACAAACAAATAATTTTCTCGCGGTTTTATTTTTTATACTTAATCTAGACAAAATTATAGATAAACATTTTTCTCTAATTTACCAGTTTATTTCCACCATTTCAATTATTTTTCTTAATCGCACCATTTTGCAAATAATGTTATCCCATAAATTCCCACAAAATCAAAATCCGCAAGCAAAAAAATACCAGAATTTTATAATATAGTGGCCTAACATAATTATTAAAATTTAAATACCAAGTTAAATAAACATAATGTTAAAATAAATTCTTGAAGTTTAGCTTTCAAATAAAAAAGAATAAGCATAAAAAATTTTAAATTTTTACGTCTTAACCAGGTAAGTTATCGGATAAGAAATTATTATAATGAATGGCGAAGTATGCCTAGTAATCAAAATAACGCATGACCGAAATGTGTGACAGGTTATGCCGGATATATTGCTTAGAATAAGTGGCGTAACCAATTGTAAGTGTCAATTAAACTGACTGTCCCCAAAAATTTGTACGCTACGATGAAATGCTTATGTAAAGATAATCTCAATAAAGTACTGTGCTTTGGAATCATTGTTTATTATGATTTATTCTCATACATGCACTTTACAAAAAAGCTAGACTCATGTTAAATAAATGTTGCATTAATTACTAAATTAAATAGAGCTAATAGATAAAATAAAATACCTTTAATTCGGTTGATTCTTCACTATATTTATGCTTAAATTATGACCTTTTTTAGCTGTCTTCTTTTTTCATGCAGGAATAACGTGAGGATCAAAATTCTCCTTTTCTTCATAGATAATATTAGGAAGCTTTCATTTTCTACCACTGGAACCTTCAATCTTTCATCTCTTAATAGATTTAACCTGAACATGAATCATTGAATCACTTTTAACATGGGCTGTTGGATCTAAATCACAATTAAGGTCATAGAGATAGGAAGTAAGCTGAGGAATAGATTTTGATTTTGCTAAATAATATCACTCTGCAAACTTGTCTAGTGCAGTGCATAATTGAGAACTAGCATTTTGATAGTCTAATTTCACTTTCTCTAAAAATGTAGCAAATGCAGTACAATTTGTTTCAGTATTTTCTTCATTAAATGCCCTAGATGAATCAATAATTATATAACTTGTTTAGAATTATTTTTAAGTTTACAAATTATCAGAATCTTTATATCTCTACTTAATATTTTTGTCAAGAGTATTATTAAGAAAACTACTTTATAATGCAGATTCTTGATCCTACAGAGTGAATTTTGCTCGTAATAATGCATAAAAAGAGATATTTTCTGAGATATAATTATCAGTAAATTTGATAGACATCAGATCAGTGACAATCAGTAAATATGCTGATCGTTGCTGATTTTTTGATTACACCGACCCAAAATCTACGCAGAACTCTGAAAATAGAAATTTTGGAGAAGTGTAATCCGAAGAAACTGTAATGATAAGCATAATTACAGATCGTTACAGTTCTTTGGACAGAAATTAAATAGATAAATGATAAAA